AGAGTCTGAGTACGGTACAAGCAACGAAATCTTCAAGTTCCTTTCATCTACAGACTCCTCCTCCAAAGAAGATCAAGGCAAAATCCTATAATCTAGGTTTCCCCAACACATAAATCCAAGCTACAGTTTACAGATTACTGCTGCCTGGGAAATCTCTTGCAATGCCAATAGTAGTAGCGGGGGTCAGTAAGTCAGGAAAAGCTGCCTTGAAGTCTTAGTGTCACCATGGCCTTGGGTAACACTGTATTACCACTTTCTTTGCTTCCAGACATAGAATATAGCACCAATTTCCTATAAATGCTTAGTTGTACGAGGAATAAAATGGGGGGGAGCTCTCTAAGTTAGTCACTTTCTTTTCCTTTTCCTCCCCTCTTCCTGCATTGCCTTGCCAGCTGTCAAAATAAGATGACACCTCTCCAGAGGTAGATACGGGTTCCTTTAATGTATGTGTTAATACGTATATTGACTTTCCCCCGCTCCCTTGTCGGTCTCTATCAAGATTTATTCTCCTTTATGGGCTTAGTATTGATTGAGGTAAAGCAGTAGTCCCACAGGTCGATCCGTTGTGATTTGGCCGCAGACGGAAGTCAATAGCTATTTATTATATGATCTATGGGCTTCATTACTTTAAACGCTAGGAAAGGAAGAAGGTGGGAGAAAGTGTACGAAAGGAAGAGCCGAGCAGGAGAGGGGCAGAGAAATGGGGGCCATTCAGCCTAAAACTTCTGAATAGGGCAAAACAGCCTCAGCAGAATCGGTAGAGAAGGAATTGCAAAGAAAGAAAGAAAGAAAGAAAGAAAGAAAGAAAGAAAGAAAGAAAGAAAGAAAGAAAGAAAGAAAGAAAGAAAGAAAGAAAGAAAGAAAGAAAGAAAGAAAGAAAGAAAGGAAAGAAAGAAAGAAAGAAAGAAAAGGTATTAATGTAGCTTCCATGCAAAGCTAAGGATCACTTCCACGGCCTTTTTTCTTTCAAATATCTGGTGACACTGAGAACAAAGGAGATAATAGGGCAGGGATTCATTGCATAGCGGTGCGAAAAATTCTAATTTAACTAAATTGCTTCTTTTGGTAAACCCTTAGAAAGAATATTGCTTTCATACGTTCCATTAGATCTTTAGAAGTGAAACAAACAGCCAGAGTAGGCAATTGAAATTTTGCAGAATAAGCTGGTACTAATGTCCCAAAATAGCCAGTCAAGGATATTAAAGTCCAGTCAAGGTTCAGCGATAACAAAATCAAGACTAGGCAGTTAATATCTTGATAAAATGATCAAAGCCAACTCAAAAACATGATCGGAGAAGGTGACGGTAGCACCTTGGACAGCTCCTAATGAGTTAGTTGTTCTCTTTCCTTCTTGGACTTAGCTATAGTAGGTGATATTTTAGGTGATATTTTAACATGGAGTTAAAAACTATCTGAAGTCTTATGTAAGCTTCTGAAACCTATAATACAGCTGAAGGAGTTGCCTCAATTAAAGCTTGGCTACAATTTAAAGTTGATGCAATCTTTGAAGTTTGCATCCTTGTGACAAATGTTTGTTTGTTTTCCCCTCCAGAAATGTAAACAAACTTTGCTATAGGGACATTCTCCTTATACCAGAATAAGCAACGGCCAGTTCTGAATTGGTTTCTGTTTGATATCCATTTCAAGAACTTTGCACCACGCATTTTCACAAAAGTGTTCAGGACTTTCCCCTGTTGTCCTCTCTGTGCAAAGCTAATGCGTGGCATTAAATAAATAAAAAAAACACATTTCCATGTCATTAAAACATGTTTTCCTGGCCATGAAGGGGAATCTTTTTTAAAAGAAAAATGTAGAAAGCAGGAGGAGAACTCTTTCATCTCCAGCATTTTGAAAAATGCTTTCGTAGAAGAAACAGGGTTTTTTTGTTCTCGGTATTTCTTTGGCACAGTCATAATTAAGTGTGAGTTAGTAAAGATGTGTGGAGGAAAAACAACTCCTTAATGAAGCCCCTCTTTCTGAGACCAGCTGCTGGAGCCTAATAATTTTCCTTTTCCAAAGCGAAGTCTCATTAATGACACGAATCCAGCGAAAAGCCTGCAAAAACAGGATTTAAAGCCGTTTCACCACTGCCAGGGGGCCAGTTTAGCAAGTGATCACGTTTGATCAGGTTTCATCAAGAAGCTCCACATTTAAACAAGTTTCCTTTTATGATTGTTTAATCAGCGCGACTTACCAAAACCGGGAAGGTTGTTTACCCATTTTGGGATTGGGAGCTTGCAAGGATTTGAAAGTATCGAGAAGTTCCCCTTTAACAGAATAACAGAGTTGGAAGGGACCTTGGAGGTCTTCTAGTCCAGTCCCCTGCCCAAAGCAGGAAACCATCCTGGTCAAGTGGTTGTCTAGTCTATTCTTGAAGACCTCCAATAATGGAGCACCCACAACTTCTGGACGCAGGTTGTTCCACTGGTTAATTGTTCTGTCAGGAAATTTCTCCTTAGTTGCTTAGGTTGCTTCTCTCCTTGCTTAGTTTCCATCCGTTGCTTCTTGTCCTGCCTTCAGGCACTTTGGAGAATAGCTTGACTCCCTCTTCTTTGGGGCAGCCCCTCAGATATTGGAAGATTGCTACCGTGTTTGGTTTCTTTGACTTGGAAGAAGTTACTTTTTTAAAACATGGATCAACTCTTGTCCTGGGAAAAGAGGCAAGTCTCCTTCTGCAGGCGAGACCAGCCCAGGATGGTCTAGGTTAGGCCTTTGAAGTTTTTCCAAACCAAAAGCTTGGTCACAGTCTCAAGTTAAAGAAATTGTATTTCGCACACCATTTCTGGTGCCCAGAGCTGATAAAACAGCAGATCATCCAAAAAGTCTGCTTTTCTTATCAAGTTATGAGGTCAGCAACATTTCTGGCTGGCTGGGGAATTCTGGGAGTTGAAATCCATGGTTCTTAAAGTTGCCAAACTTAATAAACACGAGTAGAAGAGAGTATTGGTAGGCCAGGGTTATTAAGTTAAGGGTCCTTGGTGCTCTTTCTTGCAGATGTTTCTTTGCCCAACCAGGTAGCACTGATGATGTTACTCAAGTTAGTAATGAAACGTCTGCAAGAAAACTACCAAGCTCAGAGGGCACCAAGGAGCCCACAGTTCAGAAACACGGTCTTAGCGCATCTCGGTCCTGTGCCTTTGGTTCACTCCTTCTTCTTGTTCTCCATCTTTCCTTCAGCTTTCCAACAATGCTACGTTCCAGGACCATCTGAAGTCAAAGAAAAACAGGGTAGGCTTTGTCTGCTGATGTGGTCAAAAAAATAATAATAGTGCCACGTGAAAGAGCTGCCACGGAGAGGATTAGGACACGCTGCCTAGAGTTTCCCGCCGACTCTTGTTCTGCAGCCTTCGGAGTGCTGAGCCAGACTTTGTGATCGCATCTGTCCTAGCAGAAAACTAATTAAGAGGAATGCCACACATCCGTGCTGCGAGTCCCTGGAGGGCAAAGACTCACAAGCCATTCTGCTGAATTTCTTCCCCCCACCCCAGCCCAGCCCAGAGTTCCTATCACATCACCTTGGGAAAAAGCATCGCATAAAGGCGAGCGGTGTTTACAACCTCTGTGAAAATCATTTCAATGCGAAGGATATTAGTTGAGCAAAGCTCAGGGGGGACCCTTTGGCCAAAGACTGGCGCTGATGTATTTGCCACAGCCTGAAAATTCTATCTTTTAAAAAAAACAGAAAAAAGGATGATGCAATTCTGCTAATGCCGAAGCCTTTAAAGATTGAGCCCTCACATCTTGCTGGAACCACATTCTGCCTCTCTACTCCAGTGCAATTGTGCCTATTGTGAATTCCCCCCCCCCACTTCTATTGACTTCTTTGCTTAAATGTCGCCCCTGGTTTTTAGATGATCTCTTCAAGCGCAGGAAGTCGGGAGTCCAGGCAGCTCAAAGGAATAGATAGGTTTATTGTGTGCTAAAAGCTAGCTGAGAAATTCTTGGCACCCCTCTCCAAGGTGCTGAGCTGGAGAACGGCTGGATCCCAGCATGTACTGAGCATAAAAGCCCAGATTGTCTTCCAGTTCTTTCTGTGGTCTTTCAGAAAGTAAGAAAGATTAAACTGAGACACACAGTTGACACCCTTAAATGCTCAGGTGTTTTCCACCAACGCAGCATCTGAAATAAACATTCTTTGCACATCACTGCCACGGACCAGACGGCCAATCGTTGGGCCCAGTCGCGAATATGCTGCTTTGCATTTTAAACAAAGCGAATGCAAAGTCAGTGCTGGGAAGCCCCAAAGTCGATGGTTTTGCTGAAGACATGAAAACACTCCATAATCAGACGCCGAGTTCTTCTGGGGCCGCTCGGATAATGACAGGTGCTGACCTTAGGTGAAAAAAGGCTAAGAAGCAAAGGAAGTCAGAGCTGGGAATGCGGCCAGCTCCTGCAAGGTGACAAATGTGAACAGGCTGCCTGGCTTGGAAGAAGAGCGAAGAAGCCTTTTGCACATCGGTGCAAAGAGGCCGTTTAAGCTGGAAATCAGAATACTCTGCCGGCGTCCCCAGCGGATGCCTTAAAATACGGTTTTTGCCATTTTTCTTCTTTGACAGCTGAGCAGGGAGGGCAAGGCAAGGTTTATAGAGAAGGGTTTTTCTCTGGGAAAGGATAGCAATGAAGGCTTATAGCAGGGGTCTTCAAAAGTGGCCCTTTGATGACTTGTGGACTTCAACTCCCACGCTGGCTGAGGAATTCTGGGAGTTGAAGTCCACAAGTCATCAAAGGGCCAAGTTGGAAGACCCCTGGCTTATAGCATCCCCGGGACACTAACCAGTCCTAAGAAAGTCGAACCTCTCCTCCTTAAGAGTCAACTCCATAATTGGTGTCACTGGTGAGATGGAGGTGGTCCATTCATCCCTCTGTGCAATGAACTGGTTTAGGGCTTCAGGTGAATTATTACCAGCTGGGGAAGTAATACTCATTTGGCGGTGACATCACTGGTTACAGTTTGTACACAGGAAAAATTCAAAAGTTTGGTGGTTATCAAAGCGGGCCTCTTACCTAGTGATGATGGCCAGGTGGGGAGGGCTCATGCAGGCCCCCATGAACAGCACCACGTTCTCATGCCGCGTCTGCCGGTAAGCCATCACTTCCCGCTTGAAGGCCTTCAGCTGGTCCTCGTTGTCCCGCTCAATGTCGATGAGGCGGATGGCTATCTCGCCGTGCCAGCGGCCGTGGAACACCTGCCCGAAGCGGCCCTTGCCGATCAGCTCTCCGATCTCCAGCTGCTCGAAGGGAATGTCCCACTCCTGCAGAAAGATGCTGGTCTGGCTGGCTTTCCGGGGGAAGTTGCGAGCTGAGAGGAGGGAAAGATTCATCTCCTCAAAGTCGTCCTCGGATTCCTCATCGTTTCCCTGCTCGGTCTGGAGAAGGGAGAAGAGAAGGGCTAGATTTATGCAACACACCTGTAGGAGATGAGCAGGCTGAGCCCGAGGGAGGGGGAGAGTCAAACATGTCATCAGTCTCGAGTCCCTGCGCGCCCATAGGAGATCTAAGTCCACCCCACCTTGAATTCCATTGACTCTTATCTACCGCCAATTCACCTTGACTGTTAGTAGTTCAGATTCTTGTAGAGAGTGTTAGAATAAATCTGTACTCCTTTGGGTAACCTTGGTTCCTGATTTCTTGCGTCTTACAACACCTTGGGTAATACCACCAGCCCCAACAGATATCTTTTCCTTCTCCAGATCGACAGTAGGCAGGATTAAAGCATGTGGGAAGTGGGACTGAAGGATGGTGATTAGAGTCCCTAGCTATAACCTTTTCAATTTCTTCTTCCACAGTCCCTTTTTTCTGGTATTCCCACTTCCCCTCTGTCTGGAAGTCTGCTAGAAGAGGACCAGATCACTCTTGATCTGAATTCCAGATGGCCTGCTTTTGAGATTAGACTGAGGGCAGCATGGGGCCTGCAAGCCAAGGATGGCTAGCCCCTCCTTTATAACCAGGCTCAGAATTACGGGCATGGGGTGAGGTGGGGCTTAAGAAATGATAGGCCAATTTACTTACTCCTCTCTCTATGAACTTCTGGCTCAGAGGGACGTCTCAAAAGGTAGAATGCTAGGCCAACTGCCCACACTCTTACCAACTACCAGCATTTGAGCACAGCAACAAGTGAACTTCCTATAAACCTCAGTTTTAAGATTGTCTTGAAAGGTAATAAGAAGCTTTGGTTTGATTTGCCCAAGGACAGACATATATATAACTCAGGGAAAAATAACATGGTAAGCTGTGTGGAGAAGATAAAAGAATAATAAGGGAAGTTGGGATTAGCGAATGATGGGGTCAGGGAATTACTTCTGAATCGCTCCTTTCCACCTGTGGCCTAAAAGCCAGACGTTCATGCAAAGACACACCTGCGGTCAAATAATGTCATTTCTAACTGTCCCGTTCAGACGTAATTTAGAAGCATCAAAATAATAACGTGCATCCCAGTGTCATCCACATAAAACAGCTCGTCCTTGGAGATCCTTCTCTGCATCAACCATCAGGTGGGGCACCCAGGACATGGAGCTTTCGGTGTGAGAGACAATGGGCTCCATGTTAACTATTCCAGGTCAGCTACAGCTAGATGCGACATTTAATACTGATTAAACGCAGCACGGATCAAAAATAGCTAGAGTGATCCACGAAGAGGCCCCAAAACGAAACAACCCACAAACCACTGATGGAAACCACGGTGACCTTCATCCCAAAGCTCCTTCTGTTTCACCCCAAGAAAGTCTCCCGGCTCCTAACATGGACCTTACCTCAGAGGTTGGCTCCACTTCAATTTGAAGTACTGGATTCCCTTCTCGGCTTGGAGGAAAAGAAACACCACAAATTACTAAAAATAAATTGCCTTGAATTATTGAAAATAAATCCATCACCACCACCACCACCACCACCACCACCATCATCATCCCAACACTCTCTCAGTAACCATTAGAGCTGAAACAGTGTCCGACGATTCTCTTTACAAATTAAAACGAAAGTCAGCTGTAAGGTTAAGGAATGCCTTGGTGACATACAAAAGTCTCAGTTATGAAGGAAGAAAAGGGAATAGATGGTTATGTGTCCCTTTGAGAGCCATCAATCCTGAGGATAAAAAAGTTCTTTTCAACAGCCAATACTGAGGTCCTTGCTAATTCTCTACTTTTTTTTTATCCTGAATAGTTCCATAGTTGAATGATTACATTTATATTGTACACCAACTAGTGTTAAAGTTTGGATGATCACCTGTTGGAGATGTCTCAGTTTCATACTTCCTACATCAATAGTGCTCCTCCTGCTCTTATGATTTTTATTGACTATAATATGACACTCAAGAACAAGTAAACAAGGGGACCGATTGTCCCAAAGGTGTTTTTTTTTTCAAGAGACAACTGAACTTTCTTGTTTTCCTTTTGAAGACATTTTGCTTCTCATCCAAGAAGCTTCTTCAGCTCTCTTCTTGGACGAGAAGCGAAACGTCTTCAACGAAAAACAAGAAAGTCCAGTTGCCTCTTGAAAAAGCACCTTTGGGACAGCCATGACCTGGATGACAGGGCATCCCCATAAGCAAGGGAACCAATTGTACACTGAGGTTGGTGTCCATGGAAGAGGTGTAGAGGTAGACTGCTAGGGAAGCTTGAGTTGTGGATTTTGTTGCTGTCGAACAGGGCATTGGAAAGAATATAAGGTCTTCTGCAACTCCAGGATGGATTCAGACACAATGCTAAGCTATTATTTTGGTTTGTAGGTTTTGGCTTAACCTTTTGTAGGGAAAATAGCCACTGTGCTTTGCCAACCAAGGAGTATGGCTTAGCCTATCACCAGCCGATGTTGACCTACCCATCAAACCATGGTTAACAGAACTGTATGATGTATGAACCCATTCCCAAGGTTTTATTACTTCACACCAGTTCAGACCTGATTCTTCATTCAGTTTTCACAGTAGACATAGTTCAGCTCTTGATTGACAGAAGCCGAATGACCACTTTCAGAGGAATAAATGGCTTGCAGTTTTCATCGCAAGCAACACACAAAAGATTATTCTCCTCTGACACCTTTCAACAGACCAAGAGCTATCGCTACAATGGCTTGCAATATTTAAAAAAAAAAAAACAAACTCTCTTACAGACCAAAATAACGGTGCATTATAACGCATGCTGGAGTACTAGTTAATTGTGCTGAACAAATGTGCAACAACACATTTGAAGTTCACTCAAAATCTAAATTGATTCAGAGATCAAATATTAATTTCTTGAGAGTCAGTTTGATGGGTTGCCAGACGAAATACAAGTTTTGGCATATATCATTAGCAACCTCCAACGTCCACTAGGTTTCTGAAAAATGACATGTATGACACTCATCTGAAATTTGCTTTTTCCTGGTCAGCTAACTACATAGTTAATGACATGAAAACAAATGAATCCATTTTTGAACAAATGCTTTGTAGAGTGATGAACGGAACATCAGTCGCATGAGAAATGGAAGGGAAGAACAGGAGAGAGAGAGAGAGAGAGAGACAGAAAGAGAGAAAGAGAAACAGAAAGAGAGAGAGAGAGAGAGAACGAGAATAAGAAAGAGAAACAATGTGAATGAGAGACAGAAAGAATGAGAAAGTGAAAAAGAAAGAATGAGAGACAGAGACAATGAGAAAGAGAATGAGAGAGAAAGAGAAAGAATGGGAATGAGAGAGAAAGAGAAAGAATGTAAATGAGAGAAAGAAAGAATAAGAGAACGAGAGAACGAGAATGAGAAAGAGAAACAATGTGAATGAGAGAGAAAGAAAGAATGAGAGAAAGTGAAAAAGAAAGAGAGAGAATGAAAGCGAAAGAGAGAGAATGTGAATGAGAGAGAAAGAGAAAGAATGGGAATAAGACAGAAAGAATGAGAATGAGAATGAGAAAGAAAAAGAGAGAACGAGAATGAGAGACAGAGACAGAGAGACAGAGAGAACGAGAAAGAGAATGAGAGAGAACAAAAATGAAAGAGAATGAGAGAGAGAATAAGAGAAAGAACGAGAGAAAGAGAAAGAGAGAGAGAGAGAGAGCACACCAAGCTGACACTGGTCTAGAAGGAAAAAGCTGAATATTCCCCTAGGACCTTTTGCCAAAACAGCAACTCTGCTTCTGGGACTCTGTTTCTTTTGCAGGCAGGCTCAAATTATCTTTTCCCCTACAAGTGGGATGATTGTTGAACCAGCGTGGAATATCTGTGGCCCTGGAGTCAATTTTTCACCCAAGTTTCATTGATTGTCAGCTAATCTTCTACAGCCCAGGCTCCAGCCGAGCGAGGCTGCCCACGTAAAAATTACTTCGCCTTTCAGGAGGCCTGGTTCAACCGTAAAAGAGAGGTCACCTTCTAATGATGCCATTGCATGAAGGGGGTTTGGAGAGCTGGGTGAGAAGGGGGGGGCTACCTGGTATCTCAACAGATCTGGCTGCATAAATGGATCTAGGACTGGCTTCTTTCCCAGCTCAATTTGCCAGATAGCCCCATTTAATAGCATACCTCAGTAGAACTTAGATGGGGTATTTTTTTTATTTATTTATTTGAGGGGGAGGGGAAATGGCGTGGTGAGGTAGAGGACAAAGCCAGGAAAAATTAGAATCTGGAATCTACAGTAGGATCTAAAGGACAAGCTATATGAATGATGTAAGAAAAGCAGAAAAACTAAACATCTTCAGATGTAGAGTAGAGTAGAGTAGAGTAGAGTAGAGTAGGGTAGGGTAGGGTAGGGTAGGGTAGAGTAGGAGAATAGAATAGAATAGAATAGAATAGAATAGAATAGAATAGAATAGAATAGAATAGAATAGAATAGAATAGAATAGAATAGAATTAATAGAGCAGAGCAGACAGAGCAGAGCAGAGCAGAGCAGAGCAGAGCAGAGCAGAGCAGACAGAGCAGAGCAGAGCAGAGCAGAGCAGAGCAGAACAGAACAGAACAGAATAGAATAGAATAGAATAGAATAGAACAGAACAGAACAGGAGGTCTTCTAGTCCAACTCCCTGCTCAAACAGGAGACCTTGTACCGTTTCAGACAAATGGGGCCAAAGAGGGTCTATATTGGCACGGGGAAGGCATTCTTTCCTTCTGTCTTTCATGCTAGCCTCAACTGGCTTTTTCTAAAGCTCTATGCAAAACTTTTAACTTTTATGGAGGGATTCTGGAATGCATATATGGAAAATAAGAGTGATGACACAGATAGTGGCTTGAGTAGGCATAGAAGAACCTCAGCCTGGATTTCATACAGGTGTGTGGCAGCCTGGACAACGCACGTGTGGCTTTTCTTCTTATTTATTTAACTACTAAACTCTTAGGCTGCCTGTCTGACTTCGGCAAGAGACTCTGGGCCTTCTTTTCTGACCGGGATTCACACAAGGCTTGTTGCGGAATGTAAATGCAAATGGAACCGCGGACTAAATTAACAGAAGGCAATTAATATGATTATCCTCTGTGATTTGGATGATACCTTTCCTGTGCCAGATTAACAGACAACTGTTGGAAGTGGTTGGGGACCACGGTGTGTGTGTGTGTGTGTGTGTGTGTGTGTGTGTGTATGAGACATATGGTCCTGGAGCTGCTTTGTGCTCTTTGGAGCAAGAGGGAAGGGAGCTATCAGCCGAAAGAAGGGATGCCAGAGGAATGCACAAATGAAATCAGAATCTAAAGCCGATGGTGATACCCAATTTCCATATTTCTTTTTAACTTTGCCACCATTGTTTTTCACTTTCTTAAACTCTCTTTAGCGGTTGCTAAAGAGAAAAGATGAGCGAAGAAAGAAGCCAACGGGCTGTTTTACTTGTTAACGGCGATTCTTCAGCCTTCCCTGAATTCTTAAAGCAAAGAGAGGAGAAGGCCCAAGGCCGGGGCGTGGGAGGAACTTTGAGGACCAGGTTAATGCTGAGCCACTCTGCCAGAGGAACTAGGCTGCCTCCTCCTCCTCCTTCTCCTCCTCCTCCTCCTCCTCCTTTGTTATTGAACCAATCTCCTTCTCTTTCTCTTCCTTCTCCTTTTCCACCACCTTTATTATAAAACAATTCTCTTCTTCTCCTCTTTCTCCTTTATTATGAAAAAAATCTCCTCCTTCTTCTTCCTCTTCTTCTTTCTTCTTCTTTCTTCTTCTTTCTTCTTCTTCTTCTTCTTCTTCTTCTTCTTCTTCTTCTTCTCCTCCTCCATTATGAAAAAATCTCCTCCTCCTCCTCCTCCTCTTCTCCTCCTCCTCCTCCTCCTCCTTGTTCTTCTCCTTCCTTCTTCCTTCTTCCTTCTTCCTTCTTTCTTCTTCCCCATCTCCTCCTCCTCCTCCTCCTCCTCCTCCTCTTCTTCCTTCTCCGACGCAGCAAAATCAACCCCAAGCTTTCAAGGAAGGGAAAAACAAGAGGAGAAAGAGAGCCAAGAAGATTCCTGGAAACTTCCTGGAGGACGGATTTATCCAAAAGCCCGCCGAGGTGAAATCGGCTTTGGTGAGAACGAGGCCGGAGAAGATGAGAGTGGAGCATTAATTTTTCAAAGCAACGACGACGAGGTTGCCAATTCATCTCTAAGCCGCGTGTTCAAACGGAAAGGGCTTCTTTAATCTCTGATGTCGGAACAGCTGCCAATTCTCAGTTCTCTCACCTTTCAAGAGTCAATTATTCCCAGCCTGAAAGCTCGGGACCAGTCTTTCCCATGGAACTGATAAAGCAGCTGCTTCCTCGTGTCACGTCAAGTCGTTGACCTTCTCCAGCCTAGAGATGTTTCTCAGGTTGCAAACAAGAATTTTTCTATTTTCTTCTGGGCTTTATTTTTCTTTGCCGAGGAAAAGCGAGAATCAACCTGTGGGCTGGCGATTATCAATTTGTGCACATTATATGCAGGGATAGACTACCAGAAGGGCATTCTCTCTCTGTATATGTGTGTGTGTGTGTGTAGGTCATAACACTCATAATCACGGTCTCTCTCTCTCTGTCTCTCTCTTACCAGGTAAATAAATATGCAGGCCAAACACGTCCAACTTTGCATTAAAGCCCCTTTCCTCTTTTGACTCTGTTTTCAGGTTTTTTTCTTTTGGGGGAAAAATAGAACATAGAATCATAGGGCTGGGAGGGACCTCAGAGGTCCTCTAGACCAACCCTTTCCTCAAGGATAATACCGAGTCAAATGTTCCTGGTTTTGATGGATCAGCTGCCTATTATAGGACACGATATTTGACCTGGACAAGAGTGGCTTTAAAATAGAATCTTCTCCTTTTTGTTCTATATATTAATGTACACGTGCATGGGTACGTGTGGACATATTCTGAGGGCTAAGGGGTAAAATGGCATCGGTTTAAAATGCAGGAGAGAGAAACCAGTCCTTCTTTCTTTTTTCTCTCCACGGTGTTTCCAACGTCTCCTTAAAACATACAGACACAGTAATAGGCAAGTGGCCCGAGGCAAATCTCCATTCCTTTCTCACTATTTGTGAACTGGGGAAAACTTTTAGCCTCTTGCCCATCAACTGCTAACCCCTCTAAATTCCATGCTAGTGTTTCTCTCTCTCTGCTTCTCTCTTTCTGTATTTCTCTGTGTGTATGTGTGTGTGTTTCTCTCTCTGTGTGTGTCTCTGTTTCTCTCTTTCTGTGTTCCTCTCTCTCTCTCTCTCTCTCTCTCTCTGTGTGTGTCTCTCTCTCTCTCTCTCTCTCTCTCTGTGTGTGTGTGTGTGTGTGTGTCTGTCTCTCTCTCTCTCTGCTTTAAACCAGTGGTTTATATTCCCACTTCATTTTAAACCCTGCAATTTCTCTTTTACACTCTAGACAGATGAATCTGGTACTGCACCACCTTGACTGACGGATACATTTTATAAAGCCACCCCTTTTAAATGAATAAATTTGGGCTGCTTGACAACCTGGGCAGAAGAGAAAAACAATAGGGCAACCCCATCCCCCCCACCCCCGCCGTAGACGGAACTGAAAATACAGTTAAAACCAATGACAAAGCAACGATCAAGGCAGTGCATAACAAACTCACAACATAAGTGACCTAGATAATGGGCTCGTCTCACATCTAGTCCAACCCCTTGCTCAAGCAAGAGAATCTATATCATTTCAGACAAAGGGCTGTCCAGTCTCTTCTTAAAAACCTCCAGTGACGTATAGTCAAGGCCGTGGTTTTCCCAGTTGCAATGTATGGCTGTCAAAGTTGGACCATAAGAAAGGCTGAGCGCCAAAGAATGGAGGCCTTTGAACTCTGGTGCTGGAGAAGACTCCGGCGAGTCCCCTGGACTGCAAGGCGATCCAACCGGTCAGTCCTAGAGGAGATCAACCCCGACTGCTCTTTAGAAGGTCAGATCCTGAAGTTGAAACTCAAGTCCTTTGGCCACCTAATGAGAAGGAAGGACTCACTGGAGAAGAGCCTGATGCTGGGAAAGATTGAGGGCAATAGAAGAAGGGTGGCTGGATGGAGAAGGAGGTGGCTGGATGGAGTCACTGAAGCAGTAGTCGTGAGCTTAAATGGACTCCAGAAGATGGTAGAGGGCAGGAAGGCCTGGAGGAACGTTGTCCATGGGGTCACGATGGGTCGGACACGACTTCGCAACTAACAACAACATCTCCTCTCTCTATTACAATGGCTTGAAGAGACTTTTTTTCAGCAGAGGCATTCGGGGTGGGGGGTGGGGGTGGGCAACCTGCTGCTGATCCTTCTGCTCAGAATAAGCGCTGCATCCTGAGACGAACAAGGTGCCTCTGGCTAACTAGTACACAGGCAGGTTCTCCTGACAAGGGGTGCCAAAAAAGCCGGGGGAACTCTCTTACAGTACAGCACTGAACTACTTCACAAGCTGGAGGGGTTCCTTTTCGTTTCCATTTTCAAGCAAGCTAATTTGAGGGCAGTTTCTCGGGCTCACGCGCAAATGACGCACGGTGGTGTGCTTTTAGGCGAGGGTCTGCCTCAAATCTTGCAGAGAAGTTCAAGACCAGAAGATGCCTTACAAATAATGTGCTTGAGGCAGGCAGTTCATGCAGAAAATGCCCTGGGGAGAAAGCGTGCTGGCAGCACCGACCGTTTAGGCAAAAATGGGTTCAATTGCAAGCTTAGATTTTTTTTATTTTTTAATTATAAAGAAAGGAGATAACCTTTATATGTTTACAAACCTGTAAGCGATGAAATACGCAGGAGAGTGATATAATTAGAAATGAATTAGTTTGCCTGTCTGTTTTTTTAAAAGGATCAAAAATCCATAGTCTTTGGTAAGAGGCCTCTCAAGGTAACTTCTGGAGACAGAGATTGATTAGATTAGATTTTTTAAAAAAGATTAGACAACCTTTATTGTCACTTTTTTTTTCCCCTGTGGGCACAACGGCACACATTAAAAATGAAATTTAGTTGCTTGCTCTCAAAGTGTACACATACATAACACACATTTAAAACATACTATATGCAACATTTGTATAGACCTACACCCTTACATATAAGTAACATATAAACATTGGGTATGGTCTTCTGTTCTCTGCCATTCAGGAAACTAGCTTTGTTTTTCCAAAGAAGGTAGTATGAGAGGAGGAGGAGGAGGAGGAGGAGGAGGAGAAGGAGGAGAAGGAGAAGGAGAAGGAGAAGAAGAAGGAGAAGAAGAAGAAGAAGAAGAAGAAGAAGAAGAAGAAGAAGAAGAAGAAGAAGAAGAAGAAGAAGAAGAAGAAGAAGAAGAAGAAGAAGAAGAAGAGGAGGAGGAGGAGGAGGAGGAGGAGGAGGAGGAGGGAAGGAGAAGGAAGAGGAGAAGGAGAAGGAGAAGGAGGAGGAGAGAAGGAGGAGGAGGAGAAGGAGAAGAAGGAGGAGGAGAAGGAGGAGAAGGAGAAGAAGGAGGAGGAGGAGGAGAAGGAGAAGAGAAGAAGGAGGAACAGGAGAAATAATTTCTAAAGATGGGTTGGACCATGGTTCCAAAGAGGAGGACACACAGTGAGACACTTACATTGGGTCTGAATTCACGGGATGGAGGACAACTTGAGGTGGTCGGGTGGGCAGCTCAGGCACAACATCTGGAAAGAAAAGGAAATCCTGTTCAGAGACGCAGCTGACAGGGCACTCTCAGAAGGACCCCCAAAAGATGCTCAATCGGCGAAATTCGGGCGGCTCTTTCTCACAAGCCCATATAGTGTTGCCAGTTTGGACTGCTGAACCCTGCCCTGGGAAAAACACTTTTTAAATTAAATGGGCAGCATTTCATCCCACAGAGAATCCTTGCCTTTGACTGGAGCTATGATGGGAATTGCATGGAAAGGGGAGCAGAATCAAGTGGGAAAATAAACGGCGTCCTGGATCTGTAACAGTGGACATATTGGGAAATTTCAGAGCAGTCGTCTGTGCTGTCACTCAAATGACCCCCGGGGGACTAGCCTCGTTGCCAAATGCTATCATAGACCATTTCCCCACCAGCTATTTCTGGTATCTTCTGAAGTCACCCAACCATTGTTCTGTCAAAATTATAATAATAAGCAGGACGGGTTTTATATCACTGCAGCCATGGCTGGGTGTGTGTGTTATGAAGACAATATAAAACACTAATGGGGAAATTATTTTAATGAGTTGGCCTGCTGCAATATGTAGTGTACCCATAGTCATCGGCACCTTGGGTGCAATCCCAAAACTACTGGAGCAGCACTTGTACTCCGTCGGCATTGACAATATCCCCACTGGTCAATTGCAAAAGGCAGCTTGATTCAGAATGGCTTACATCTTGCGACCAGACCTTTCCTATTATTAAGCAACATCTGCCTATCTCAGGTCCTCGGGAGGGACTCGATAAGTCCATAAACATGGCAAATCCAGTCTAAACATCTGGCTGACAGTGCAACCAACCATAATAGAAATAATAACCAGGACACAACTTGGTCCAGATGCTCCCCATCACCCCTTTTCCTGTATTTCAACTATTCCTTCCTTCCTTTCTTTTTTTTTTTCTGGAGCCAGTGAGAAATCTAAACCCAACCCCTTGCTCAGAGAGTTCTCTTTAACAAGGTTTATTGAGGCCAAAAGGAAGGGATTTACAAGAATCCCAGCAACGGCTCTATTTTCCATGGATAATCGTGGATATCCCTGGGTACATGCAGGTAAAAACCTTCTGATTTTCTAAAAACCTTCCGGTTAGAAGCAGTCTTGTGATTGTTCGTGAACACTTACCTGGAAAAATGAATTGCTGCTTGTACGTGTAATAGTGAGAAGCTGTGGAAGAGTGAAAACACAATTTAGGAGGAATTAGTGATTAGCAGGGCTGCCGTTTCTGAATAGAACACAGAATCCTAGAGCTGGGAGGGACCTCGGAGGTCTTTTAGTCCAACTCTCTGCTCAAAGCAGGAATGCTTATGCCATAAAGTATACCTATGTTATATGAAAAAAAAAAGCAGATCCACATGTAAAAATCCAATTAAACTGATTTCTTGCTACTGGCGACTGTACGTAGCCATCTTCTCAACTAATGGTTAGCGCCCGTTTGGACTTAGATAAGGATCAACAGAATTCAAAGGAGGTTCCCGTGGCTACATAGGGATTCCAGGCTGGTTCCTCTTTTGATTCCACCCCCCAGATTCTGCCACTCCTTCCCCTACACTAGGATCGTTGGCAAGAACTGGCGGCTGCACCTAACAGTGACTGAATTGTTGCTGAATACATCGCACTTACCTGGCAAATTGAACTGTTTTTGTTGCCGCGTGCACTGCGGGGAGGGGTGCAAGGGCGAAGGTGGCGTGGCGCTGGGTGGCAGGGGAGGAGCTGGTGAAGAAGGAGTGGACGATGTGGTGGAGGAGGGATTGCTGCTGGAATCAGGCTGGTAGGGCACTGGAATGTGATCCTAAAGAGAAGGTCAACAGTTGGGTGAGCACTCAACCAGCAAGCCTGAATGTCTTCAGTTTGGGCTTCCCCAGAAGGTCTACAGGTCAACTCATGACCTCAATTGGGATCAGAAATTGCATTGCTAAGGAAGGTGGTTGTTCTCTACCGCAGGGGTCTTCAAACTTGGCCCTTTTATGACTTGTGGACTTCAACTCCCAAAATTCCTCAGCCAGCCAGGCTGGCTGAGGAATTCTGGAAGTTGAAGTCCACAAAAGGGCCATGTTTGAAGAGCCCTGCTCTACCGGAAGGCTAAAAGGGTGGGAGCAGTTCTCACTGCCATTCATAGGATGTTCCATAGCGCTGGGGTCACAGTGGAGAAGGCTCTTCTCCTGGACCCTGCCAGACAGAATTACCTGTGGATCCCTTGTGCTGGAACAAGTGGGATGGGCTAGTGCAGAGGCACACACCCCAGACATGGCTAAGTTTTTAATTCATTGAGCAAGAGTAAAATCACAAGGCAAACTAAAACAGGTCCTCAACCCCAGAATGGTTTGATCTCATAAGCAAATGTTCTTCTTTACTAACAATCTGCCTTTGGACCTGGGGCATAATATAATGCCAAGATCTGACATGTTCCCCTTTCAAAAGGCCTCTGTTCTCAGGCTGGTTGATTTAGCTTCATTTAATGGCTTTATTCACCCAAGCTGTTGACTTTTTTTATTGGGATTGCCCACCTCCAGGAAGGAGATTGGCTGCGGCTTTTCCAACGTGAGCCTTTCTACAAAAAGTCTCTAAAGCAAAAGGGAAAGAAATAAAGGGGGGGGGGGAGAGAGAAAGAGAAAGAAAAAGAGAATGTAAAAGAAAGAGAGAAAGAGACAGACAGAGAGAGAAACAGAGAGAAAGAGAACGTAAAAGAAAGAAAGGGACAGAGAGAGAGGGAAAAACAGAGAGAGAAACAGAGAGAGAGAAAAAGAGAACGTAAAAGAAAGAAAGAAAGAAAGGGACACACAGAGAGAGAGAAACAGAGAGAGAGAAAGAGAATGTAAAAGAAAGAGAGAAAGGGACAGAGAGCGAGAGAAACACACACACAGAGAGAAAGAGAATGTAAAAGAAAGAAAGAGAGAAAGGGAAAGAGAAAGAAAGAGAGAGTGGGGGAATTAGGATTTCTTTAACTAGCTAGGAGGCTGTCTAGCTCTCAGCTCATCTTGCCCATACAGTAAGAAATTCTCACCACGTATTTGGATAGTAAACCTCCACCTGGTGCTTCCTGGTAGTAAAGCTACACCTGGACAGCAGGCGGCATGTAAGATCTTTGGGGTGGAGAAACGGGAGGCAGGGAAAACCCACTGTGTCCCCTCTGGAGGATCCAACCTGGCTCTGGTTATTTCCCCATCCATCACTCCTCACGGGCCATTTAACTTAAAGGGGCAAGCGCGGGCATTTTGCGATAAGGTGCGACAGACGGGCGCTTCGCACAAGGCTGCACATCCTTGACGTAGCTCTATGGGGCTGCTGTCTGCCAACTATTTGATAACACCGTGGTGAATAAGAGTTCCTAACGCTGGCAAAGAGAGCTTAGGAGTTGGCAGAAGACGAGGGGGACTTCAAATTAATTAGGAAGATGGGGAGGAACCCTTAGGCAGGTCTCCATCTGTATCTCTCTTCTCTTAACAGAGCGATTCCTGCTTATTCACTTGCCCTCTTTCACCAGATTTTGGAGTCAGCAGAGAGGGGGGGGATTGGAGGGGTTCTACTTTGAAGCACCCAGATGTCAGAGTAATCAAAGAAGAAGCAAAGATCATAGAATCATGGGGCTGGAAAGGACTTTGGAGGGAATAGAATAGAGTAGAGTAGAGTAGAGTAGAGTAGAGTAGAGTAGAGTAGAGTAGAGTAGAGTAGAGTAGAGTAGAGTAGAGTAGAGTAGAGTAGAGTAGAGTAGAGTAGAATAACAGAAAGAATAGAGTAGAGTACAATAACAGAAAGAACAGAATAGAATAGAATAGAGTAGAGTAGAATAACAGAAAGAATAGAATAGAATAGAATAGAATAGAATAGAATAGAATAGAATAGAATAGAATAGAATAGAGTAGAGTAGAGTAGAGTAGAGTAGACAGATTGTAGAATAGAATAGACAGATTGTAGAATAGAATAGACAGATTGTAGAATAGAATAGAATAGAATAGAATAGAATAGAATATAGAATATAGAATAGAATAGAATAGAATAGAATAGAATAGAATAGAATAGAATAGAATAGAATAGAATAGAATAGAAGCTGGAAGCGACCTTGGAGGTCTTCTAGTCCAGCCCCCTGCTCATGCAGGAGAACCTATACCATCTCAGACGGGTCTTCTTGTTCAATCTCCTGCACAAGACAGGAGTCCTTATACCATCAATGAAAGTCAAAGTCAAAGTTCTACATTATCGAACAAGACCAAGCAAGGTATCAAGCGTATTGACTCCTGAAGTCTTAGTCCAATGAGATCCCATTTACAGTCTGGACTTGAACTCAAGAGTCTCCCAGCCAGCCTTCAGGCCTAAGGCGGGACTAGAACTCACCTCCAGAAATATTGTGCGTGGAGGTTTTCAAGAAGAGACTGGGCAGCCCCTTGCCTGACGTGGTATGTAGGATTTCCTGCTTGAGTAGCAGGCTGGACTCGGAGACCTCCGAGGCCCCTCCCAAATCGGTCGTTCTGATTCTGCCAAGGGCAGTCGGGTTCAAAGCCCGCTCCTTCATTCAGACTGCATTGTTGCACATTCCAGAAATGAAAAAGGAGAGTGAAGCTGGGAAGTAGCAGCGAGAGGAGGGAGCCATTGGTACAAATGCCAGGCAGGTGGAATGCAAATTGGATGCAAATAAGGCTTAAAACTGTTTTCGCACGACAGGCCTCTCTATTTTGAGCCGCGGATGTAGCCAGCAACAGGTTTCCACACATGACGCTCTGATGGCTGTCAGAAAAATCTGCCACTTTCTCCGTTTGGCCACTCTGAACAGAAGCTTGGATTTCAAAAAAAAAAACAAAACCAGAAAAACAAAATACTGTACAAAATAAAACTCTGGAGAACCCGGCTGGGTGATTTGGGGGCAATCGCCAGGAGATGGTGAGTTCTAGTCCCACCAAACGCATGAAAACCAGCCAGGTGATTTTGGCCAGTTACCAGGAGACTGTGAGTTCTAGTCCTACCTTACACATGAAAGCTGGCTGGGTGATTTTGAGCCAATCCCAAAGAGACTGTGAGTTCTAGTTTCATCTTAGGCATGAAAGCTGGCTGGGTGACTTTGAGCCAATCACCAGGAGACGGTGAGTTCTAGTTTCGTCCTAGGCATGAAAGCTGGCTGGGTGACTTTGGGCCAATCGCCAGGAGACTGGGAGTTCTAGTTTCATCCTAGGCATGAAAGCTGGCTGGGTGACTTTGGCTCAATCACCAGGAGACTGTGAATTCTAGTTCTGCCTTAATCATGAAAGCTGGCTGGGTGACTTTGGACCAGCCACCAGGAGGTGGTGAGTTCTAGTCTGGACTATAAGATGGGATCCCCTTGGGCTGAGACTTCTTGCCTCAACCCCCGACGGGTTTTTATTTCACATCAACCAGATTTGCTGAGATCTCGAGTCGAATTGGCAGGCATGAGTGGAAATCCAGCAAGCCATCTGCAGTGCGCTGGCCCTCCAGATGGCTGAACAGACCAGGAAGAAAACAGGATGATACTGTTTGAAAGCTGGGGGGGGGGGGGGGGAGAGAGGTCTTGGCCAATTTCTTCTCTATTCCTTTGTACTTTTGTTGCAGGCCTGGTTGCCATGGCAGGCGAAGAAGGTGGTTTATTTGCTTATTTATACAGAATACAGAATAACAAGAGGGGTTGGGAAGGTACCTTGGAGGTCATCTAGTCCAACCCCCTGCTCAGGCAGGAATCCCTATACCATTTCAGACAAATGGCTGTCTAGTCTCTTCTTAAAAACCTCCAGTGTTGGAGCATTCACCACTTCTGGAGGCAGGTTGTTCCACTGATTAATTGTTCTAACTGTCAGGAAATTTCTCCTTAGTTCTAGATCGAATCTCTCTTTGATCAAGTTTCCATCCGTTGCTTCTTGTCCTGCCTTCGGGCGCTTTGGGGGAATAGGTTGTCCCCCTCTCAAATACTGGAAACCTGCTTGCTTATTATTTTATTTTATTTTATTTTATTTTATTTTATTTTATTTATTTTATTTTATTTTATTTTAATATTTTATTTTATTTTATTTTATTTTATTTTATTTTATTTTATTTATTTTATTTTATTTTATTTTATTTTATTTTATTTTATTTTATTTTATTTATTTTATTTTATTTATTTTTTTTTTTTTTTTTTTTTTTTTTTTTTTTTTTTTTTTTTTTTTTTTTTTTTTTTATTTATTTTATTTTATTTTATTTATTTTATTTTATATTTTATTTTATTATTTTATTTTATTTTATTTTTATTTTATTTTTTTTATTATTTTATTTTATATTTTATTTTATTTTATTTATTTTATTTTATTGTGTATCTTACTTATTTTACTTTACTTTGTTTTATTTTTATTTGGTATTATTTTATTCATTTGAGCTCCTTGAACCCTACGGGTCCACTGACTCTACTCCCTTGCAGCTACAAAGATTATTAAGGAGGGATGAATAAGTTTATTACTGCTTTCTCTTTTCCTTCAGATCTGTTTCGCCTTTGATCATTCAGAATCCTCTTCCTTTCAAGTCCCTGCACGAATCTGTTTCCTTTCTTGGGGAAAAAACAAAACAAATCTAAAGTGAAGATGTATTTTATGGTGAGAGGGCAATGGATTGGCTTTTTGATACAAAGGACGCTCTTTCAGATTGGTTTTCGGGGGTACAATTTTTTTTTTAAAAAAAACCTCTGGCAAGAGGGAGGGAGAGAGGAAGGAAGGAAGGAGGGAAGGAAGGAAGGAGTAAAAGAAGGAAGGAATAGAATAGAATAGAGCTGGAAGGGACCTTGGAGGCCTTCTAGTCCAGCCCCCTGCTCAAGCAGGAGAACCTATACTGTCTCAGACAAGGAAGGAGGGAAGGAAGGAAGGAAGGAAGGAAGGAAGGAAGGAAGGAAGGAAGGAAGGAAGGAAGGAAGGAAAAGAAGAAGGAATAGAATAGAATAGAATAGAATAGAGTAGAGTAGAGTAGTGTAGAGAGTAGAGAGTAGAGAGTAGAATAGAGTATAGAGTAGAGTAGAGTAGAGTAGAGTAGAGTAGAGTAGAGTAGAGTAGAGTAGAGTAGAGTAGAGTAGAGCAGAGCTGGAAGGGACCTTGGAGGTCTTCTAGTCCAGCCCCCTGCTCAAGCAGGAGAACCTACACCATCTCAGACAGGTGACTGTCTAGCCTCTTCTTAAAAATCTCCAGTGCTGGAGCGGCCACGATTTCTGGTGGCAAGCTGTTCCACCGGTTAATTGTCCTCACTGTCAGGAAGTTTCTCCTTAATTCCAGGGTGCTTCTCTCTTTGATTAGTTTCCAACCGTTGTTTCTCGTCTTTAACTCTGGTGCTCTGAAAACGATTGGTCCATTTCAATCTGAACTCTGAAATCTTTTCGATTTATTTTGATTTGTTTTGGTTTTTTGGGGGGGGAACAGAATTTTAATAATCAGGGATGTGAGAGCCATGCTCCAACTTCCTTAGGAATTTGCTGGCAGGGTTTCGAACCCAGCCTTTGGCGTCCCTGAATGGTTTAATTCCACGGTGGCTGCTGGCTGACCCCAGACTCAGCACAGCTGGCCAGCTGCCCATTTCCTCTCCAGTCACAGCTCCGCGATCAAGAGCCACAAGCAGCTTTGGCAACGAAAGGAAGGATCTTTTCCTCCCTTCGACTTAAAACAGGCTTTTGAATTCGGTCAAGTCACCCTAAGCGCTCCTTTGGCTGGGTGCCCTTGTGGCCGCCTCACCTTGTTGATTTTGTTGGTTTTGGGGAGCGTCTGGCTGATGGGCAGGTCTGAATATCTGGGGGGTTTCCGCAGAGGATTGTTGATGTCACATGGCACGGATTCTGTCCGGACTAATCTTGCTGAATCAAAAACAAAAGAGAGAGAGAGAGAGAGAGAAAGAAAGAGAAAAGGCTGGAGAAGAGGAAAATAAAAATAAAGAAAAGAGGCGGAGCGAAATAGCCCACCTTCGGCCATCTGTAATTTTATCATTATCGTAAACATCATTATCGTAAACACATAGAGTATGTTGAAGTGTGTGTGGTGTAGGTGTACGCTTTGAGAGCAAGCAACTAAATTTCGTTTTTGATGTGTGCCGTTGTGCCCACAGGAAAAAATAACAATAAAGGTTATCTATCTATCTATCTATCCATCCATCCATCCATCCATCCATCCATCCATCCATCCATCCATCCATCCATCTATCTATCTATCTATCTATCTCTATCTTTATCTATCTATCCCCCTCTCATCCATCACCATCTCTCTCCCTCTCATCTATCTATCTATCTATCTATCTATCTATCTATCTATCTATCTATCTATCTATCTATCTATCTATCTATCTATCTATCTATCTATCTATCTATCTATCTATCACCATCCATATCTCTGTCTGTCTGTCCGTCCATCATCTATCTATCTATCTATCTATCTATCTATCTATCTATCTATCTATCTATCTATCTATCTATCTATCTATCTATCTATCCCTTCCCCTTTTTTTCTTCCCATCCCCTCATCCAAGGAGCTCTGAGGAACCATGCTTTGCTGCGTCTTCTTGGTTCTTGTCGTCATGTAAAAAGAAGAAAGCAAGGAGCTCCTGAATTATTATGTTTTGAGAGAGAAATCCTCTCCAAATTCTTAGCTGGCTCCTGCCCCAATTGACTGGAGAGGTAAACTCTCCCAAGACCAAAACTCTTTCTTGCAGAACTGGTGAGAAAGCAGAAGTGGGAAGGAGTTTGCGCAGGGAGAAACTGCAAGGATGGAAGGGTTTGGAAGCCCTGGGAAAGGAAAGGCGACTCGTATATGAAAAAGGACGGAGGGGAATGTTTCCAGTAGGAAGTTAGCAAAGGACACTGTCGCTTTTTGTTCTGGGGACCCAAACGGAACTGTAGTGGCTCTTACCTCCACGGTGGATGATCAGCAGATGACAAGGTGGGGCCTCTTTGGTACATTTGTTGTGGCACTTTAGCCTAGGAGAAAACAAGCAGAGGAAGCGCTGATTTGACGCTCAGCTCGTGGAAAGTCAGACTTCAGAAAGAGTCAAACCGGAAGAAGCGCAAAGGGGTTTCTTTGTATTCATTGATTTATTTGACTTATATCCCACCTTTGTTATTATTATTATTATTTTGATAAACAATTCAAGGGGAAGAACATGCCTAATACTCCTTCCTCCTCCTATTTTCCCCACCACGACAACCCTGCAAGGTGGGTTGGGCTGAGAGAAAGAGACGGGCCCAAAGTCACCAGCCGACTTTTATAGCTAAGGTGGGACTAGAACTCACCGTCTCCCGGTAATTGGCCCAAACTTCACCCAGCTGGCTTTCATGCCTAAGGCAGGCTAGAACTCACATCTCCTGGTGAATGATCCAAAGTCACCCAGCCGGCTTCCATGCCTAAGGCAGGACTACAATTCACTGTTTCCTGGTGATTGGCCCAAAGTCACCCAGCCGGCTTTCATGCCTAAGGCAGGACTAGAACTGACAGTCTCCCAGTTCTTAGCCTGGTGCCTTAACCACTAGAGAAAACTGCCTGTCTACAAGGTCATAGGACTACAAAGACATCCAGATCAAGCTGGGGAGAGAGCTGGTTGTGCAAAATCAGTACATCCAGCTTTCTGATGCCAAAGGCCCAACCTTGACAAATATCAGTGAAACAATCTTATTTTAGACCCTTTATGCTCTGGAGTTGCGGGGAGAGATATATATAGGAAGGGCTAGATGTCTGCCACAAAGGAAAGCAGAACCCAGACACAACAGTTTGGTATATTAAGTGTCTGGGGAATGCACAACCTACAAAAAAGGAGACGTACTTGCAGTTTTTACATTTCAGCCCAAACAACATTCCTTTCCCGCAGACAGTGCACGTCTGGGACATCCAATACTTTGTGGAAAACCTGGAGGGAGAGAGAGAGAGAAAAAGAGAGAAAGAGAGAGAGAGAAAGAAAGACAGAGAGAGAGAGAGAGAGAGAGAGAGAGAGAGAGAGAGAGAGAGGGGTTGACCTCTGTTAAGTCTATAAAAACTTCTTCTTCTCCAAATGAGAGTATTTCTCACCAAATAAATCTCCCATGATTTCTGCGGCCTTCCTTCTCCCAGTCACCCAAGTCTGAATTACTTACTGATTTTGTTGCAGCAAGCCCATACAAATCAATCGCAACTCACTTGCTCTTAGTATTTAACGCAAGTGAGATTTTTGAGCGAGTCAAAACCAACTATATATCCACCCAGGCAAAGAGGGCAGTTGGGAACTTCGCTAACTTTTACGGCCACCAGTAAAATCCCCAAAGCATCAAAATATTACTTGGCCTGAAATTCAATTTCGACGCAGAGCGGGCTGGTGTCCCCGAATGACTGTATCACCTGGAGTAACTTTTTGTACATACATTTTCTCCCCACGCTTACTATGGTTACTAAGGGATCGGATTATTGTTTTATTTTCCTGTCCCCAAGTATCCATAGTTACCAGCAACAATGATGCACAGAAAGACTGAGTGGTATTTGTTGAGGGCCCACAAGGAGGATATAAACAGCTATTCTTGCATCAATTAGATCGTAAAATACAATACAATAGCTATCTCTGCCAAGGCTCTACAGATCCCCCTTGTATATATATATATATATTTGCTATACCTGTGTTTGATTGAGTTTCCAAGATCCCGTCGAGGAATTTGGGGGGACCAGCGAGGTACTGAGAGCGTATCTGGAGACAGAAGAGGAAGACAAGAAGAACTCAATGAAAAATAGTCAAGCTATTCTCCAAAGCGCCTGAAGGCAGGACAAGAAGCAACGGATGGAAACTAATTGAGGAGAGAAGCAACCTGGAACTAAGGAGAAACTTCCTGACAGTGAGAACAATTAACCAGTGGAACAACCTGCCTCCAGAAGCGGTGAATGCTCCAACACTGGAAGTTTTTAAGAAGAGACTGGACAGCCATTTGTTCGAAATGGTATAGGGTTTCCTGCCTGAGCAGGGGGTTGGACTAAATGACCTCCAAGGTCCCTTCCAACTTTATTATTATTATTTTTTTAAAAAGGAAAACTCACTTTCCCTTCAGCCATCGGGAGGATCTGGCTAATTAGGGGTTAGTGATACTATTAGCTTTCTGATTACTTTTGGAAATTTGTTTACAAGGTAGGTCTTTTTCCCAGGATTCTCATTTCTTTTTCCCAATCCAGCTGCTGAATTCCAATCTCACTGACCAACAGAAAAAAAAAGAAAAGAAAGAAAATCAGCCAGCAGTTACCCTCAAAGAACAATGTGATGACTCTGGCAATAAGAACATGAAGAGTTTATCTGGTTTAGGCTAAAAACATCAGGTGATGTTATTTAGAAACATAAGGAGATCTGAAGAGACTAGAAGCATTTGAAATGTGGATTTACAGGCAGCTGTTATGCCTAAGCTGGGTTGACAAAATCAGAAATGAGGAGGGGATAAGCCGCCTGGGAAAGCCAAGGAAAGTCATCAAAACAATTAAAAAACGAAAATTAGAATATTTCGGACAAGTGATGTGACACCCAGAAAAATACGGCATGCTCCATTTAATCCTCCAGGGAAAGACTGAAGGCAAACGAGGTCCAGGCAGAAGAAGAACATTGTGGCTTCAAAATCTAAGGGATTGCTTTGGACAAAACTCAGCAGCACTTTTTCGTGCGGCAGCTGATAAAAACAGGATCGCCAACATGATCGCCAATTCCGATAACGGATATGGCACAAGAAGAAGAAGCAGATCTGGGCTCAAGGAGACATGAAACCATGCAGGGGCTGGATCACGTTTTGTCCCAACTAAACTGAACTAGGCTTTTAAAATGTGGCTGCTCTCAAATCTTACCTAATTTCTCCTGAGCCACTCTTGGGGGTTCACTCTCAAATCTATCCATATTTAGGCAGGACTTGGAATGCATACACACACACACACACATACACAAAGTCACTGGAAAAAATGTGACGCGGAGGCCCGTTGCGTCCTTTGCCCAAGACACCAGGAGAGAATCTTCTCTCCTAACACGGTGCCTGCTGTAGAGTTAAGAGTTGTTGGTGACCGTCATTCATTTTTTTATTCTTCCATCAAAACACACACACACACACACACACACCTCTGGCTCTCCAGATGCTTGACATTTCATCCCCCCCAGACCCCTCCATCCCGGTTCTGCTTCGGACCCGCCGGAAGGACGCCTTCTCTGCAGGCTTGTAAATTTCTACTTGCAAGGATAAATACTTGGCTTGCCTCAAAGAGCAAATTAAAAGAAGGCTGCTGACCGTCGAAGCGAGGCGTCCGTTTATATTTTCTCTTTTTAAGCCAGGGGGGGGAAAAAACCCAAATGGATTCTCAGAGACCGAAATGCCGTTTCTGAGCAATATAGACCTGGACGGCTGGAATTTGACCATCTGTAGGCACCAAGCAGGCCAGGCGGCAGTGTGGGAATCCCCCCGGAGGGTTTTCTACATACATCAGCCAATCTTTATTATAGAGGCTTTGAATGCCGCTGTTTGCTTTTGGTATCCCAGGCAGGTGAAGGTGTTTTTAATTACGTGCCATTTCGGAAGGTTACATTTGCATCCGGTTTCCTGTGCGGTAGCAAAGCTCCCTTGGCTGCGTAAGAAACCGTAACTTAGAGAGAGAGAGAGGGGGGGGGAGAGAGAGAGGGAGAGAGAAAGAGAGAGAGAGAGAGAGAGAGAGAGAGAGAGAGAGAGAGAGAGAGAGAGAGAGAGAGAGAGAGAGAGAGAGAGAGAGAGAGAGAGAGAGATATGGTTCGTTTTACGCGGCGAAGAAAAAAAAAAGTTGCAGAGTTAGCCAGGAAGCAAATACGATCAAGCCCTCTGATTCCGGACGGGAAGAAAGCGATTGGCAGAAAATGCCCAAAATTCATCCCAAGCTGGCTCCGTCTTTTGGCTATACAGGCAGTCCTCAGCTTACGACAGTCCGCTTAGTGACCCGTTCAAAGTCATGTCATGGAAAAAAAGTGACCGTTTTTCAACGTTTTTACAGCCATCGTGGCCACCTGATCCAGCCAGCCGTGTCCTTTTCTAAATGACTCCATTGCGTTCCCCTTGGCCAGGTTTCTGTGTTGCCTCTCACCCACCGGCCAATAGGCTATGTTTTCAGGTAGTCCTTGACTTACGGCCCATTGCCGTAGTTACGACGGATCCTCCAAAAGCAACTTATGACCCATCGAAGTTGTAGCTGCAAGCAAGTGACCAATCCGGGGCTCTTGGCAACTGGCCTCCGTTTACAACTGTTTGCAGTCCCCGGGGTTGCGATTTATGACAGTCTTGCTGGAACACCCCCCTTTTTTTCCCTCGCCCTGGTTGTTAAACAAATCACTGGAGTTGTTAAGTGAACCCCACGGTCGTTAAGTGAATCCAGCTTCCCCCATTGATTTTGCTGGTCGGAAAGCCGGGATGGGAAGGTTGCAAACGGCAATCACGTGACGCTGGGATGCTGCAACCTGGTGTAAAGACAGGTAGCCCTCGAGTTACGGCCACCCTGGGGCCTTGAATTTATGTTGCTAAGTAAAACGTGCGTTAAGTGAGTTGTGCCTCATTTTACGACTTTTCTGCTAAGGGAATCGTTGCAGTGGTTAAGCTAATGACAGGGCTGTTAAATGAATCTGGATTCCTCCGTTGACTTTGCTCGTCAGACGGTCCAAAAAAGGGAGGTCACGTGACCCCGGGACACGGCAACCGTCATAAATATGAGTCGGTTGCCCAGCGCCTGAATTTCGATCATGTGACGGCTGCAAGTCAGTGTGAAAAACGGTCCCAGGTCACTTTTTTTCAATGGCATCGTAACTTGAACGGTTGTAAGTCAAAGTCCTGATGGGCCACAACGGTCTCACCTGGTCCTAGCTTCTTAGGTTGCCCATCTCGACCCTTAGGATTTCTGCCTGCCCTTTATTCCAGTCTCTTGTTTATTTTATTTATTTGATTGAATTTATCTGCCACCCGTCTCAACCATTCGAGTGGCACGTCTAGACTGGGGTCCAAAAATCCCACGCCTGCCTCCATGGAGGAATTAGCATCTCAGCCATCAGGCATTAAATCAAAGTTATCTGCCCAAGAGCCCCGGAAAGCGACCGATTGACACCCCTCAAGATCTGCTCTGGATCAGCACAGGGGCAGCTGCTTTAGCTTCAGAAATGCCATTTGCTCATCGCTAGATCACCTTCCACGAACCAGCCACCCCCTCCTCTCTCTCTCTCTCTCCCCCCCCCCCACTTCTCCTCCTTTGTGGACCCAGGCAATTACAGATGCTTACCTGAAGGTAAATTAAGCCCTCTGCCTTAGCGCAGTTTATTTCGACTGACTTTTACTCAATTAAATCCTGCTATTTTACAGAGAGAGGGGGGCGGGGAAGAAAGACGGAGACTAGCTGAGGCACTTAATTATTTTCTATAACATGTTCATCGCCATATATATATATATGTGTGTGTGTTTTTCAAAATTTGGATTGCATCAAATATATATAGATATATTATTCCATCAAATATATATAGATATATTATTAATGTCCAAATATATATAGATATATATGTCCAAATATATATAGATATAATATTAATTCCAAATATATATAGATATAATATTAATTCCATCAAATATATATATAGATATATTATTAATGTCTACCAGGAATTGCGACCTCTGAACAAAGCCTCTGTGATTCGCAGGTAATTATCTTCATTACAGGCGCGATGGGTGAAGGATCAGAAGTATTAACAAGGCCCCCAGTGTTTGCGGTGTGCCAGGCAAAGAGGGAGAGGATCGAAATGCTGCTGCGGGGAGGGTGGGTGCTCTGCCAGCTAATTTGCTATTTTCTTCTCTAAGCCAGAGACGATGAAACGGCAGCAATTGCCTTGGTGATAAAAGAGGAATCCGTAGCAATAACGGGCAACTTGTATTGTATTGTGAACTTGGGAGGAAGCTTCTATCCCACCCCTGTAACGGAATAACAGCATAACAGACTTGGAAGGGACCCTGGAGGTCTTCTAGTCCAACCCCCTGCCCAGGGCGCTTGGCCACGTACAGTGGGCTTGTGGAAAAAAAGCCGAGGAAAGTTCAATACTGAGGCATACCAGGATACAAATAATCCTAAAGATCAATACTGCAGAGAGCAGAACTTTTTTTTTTTTTATAATTGGGACTTAGGGCTACTGAATTAAAGACTCGTGGAAGATTAATTTTTTACATCTAGTAACGGGCGTGAGGTTATTAAAGGCACAAAGGAAGAGAAGTATTGAAATTCCCGCAATGGAGGGAATAGATTTAAACACCGTTAGAATTAGTGGAGGGAGAGGAGAGCGCTCTCAAAATATTGCTCTGAGGTACCCAAATCAGCCCCCCTCCTCCAAATTTCATCTTCAAATGTCTAATTATGGAGAGAGAGAGAGAGAGAGAGAGAGAGAGAGA